TAGCTAAAGTTGCATCCAAATCGGTTAAGCCGTTTCTGAGATTAGCGCGCATAAAAGCACAGATACACAGACAACATTTTTTACAACCATTGTTTTGGGTCTATTGCATTGATAAAGGGAGACCTTTAATAATAGTTTTTCTCAAATGTCTTCAGACAAAGACAAGTTACATTTTTATTATATGTAGAGATATCTGTCTGTATCTGTTGTATGGGAGCCCCACTTAAATATTTTTTTATTATATTTTTAGTGAAAATTTCAACTGTCTATCTATCACGATTCATGGGATACAAGCCTGATGACGGATTCTTAGTGCACGATCCTCCACTTTCCTCATCAAGCCACTACCAGCGACCTTTCTCAGGTCATCGTTCCACTTGGCAGGGAGACATCCGACACTACGTTTTCCGAGACATAGTCTCCATTCGAGAACCCGCCTACTCCAACGCTCTTCGGTTCTACGACAGATGTAGCCAGCCCACTGCAACTGCAGCTTGCTACAATCATGGACTATATCAACGACTTTGGTGCTCTGCTGGATGATTTCGTTTCAGATTTTATCCCTTAGCGAAATACTGAGCGTAGATCTCTCCATAGCTCGCTGAGCGACGTTTAATCGGTGGGCTAGCCTTACCGTCATGTTCCACGTCTCGGCCCCATATGTCATGAGTCATGACTGGCAAGACACACTGAGGCGGGATCCACTACAGCATGTTTTCCAATTCCTACATATGGAACCCTAAAAAGAAATAAATTGAATCTCATCGAAGGTAATATATAGATAAATAGATATATACATAGTTTAAATGGTTTTTCATCCTATTGTAAACTGAATATTTTTTCTTTTGCACAGTATTTTATTTTTTACCCATGTGAATCGTATAGGAGGTCGGTCTTTTATTCTACATAATTATACGTGCAGCAAAATTTTGAACCCCTTTTTACGCAAATTGCGCGGACGGAGGAGTATGAAATTTCCCACACTTAGGAGTGCAGAATGGTAATATGTATTTTTTTAAATCATGCAAAAAATACAGTAAAATCAGTAAAAAAAACATTACAAACATGCCGAAAATTTGAAAATTATGGTCGAAATTCGATCATGATTAATTGTACATGGTAGTACAATACATATGGTCGAATTTCGACCATTGGGTGATCACTAGTACTATTAATTAGTTCCCAAATAAAACACTGTTACTTTACCTTTGTATAAAATATTAACGTATTATCGTAAGTACGGCTTGCACTTCACTCATTGATAAAAGAATATAAGGGGATATGCCCTTTATTGCATTTACAATTTCTCGTTATACAAATATGATGCAAATATACACATCAATTACAAAAACATATCTCTTCCACTCTAACGCGTTGTAATTTACAAATGTAAATAAAGTACAGTATATGTCAGGAATTTCAAATTTTTGTTTTAAATTTCCGTTACGTCACGAAGCCCCGCCTTGAAGCACGTTTTATGGCATGCCGCCATTTTAGGTCTACACTTTTCTATGTACTTTGACTGTCATATAATTGCTGTTCGAAAATTATTTTCATTTTAATAGTGAATTGTGTGTGTGTGTGTTCTGGTAATTTCTGGAGTGTTTGTAAAGATAAGTGGAAAAAAATTTGACATGGCAAAGTGTTGTAGTTCCAGTTTTTGTATTTTTTTGTACATTTTCGTATGTGATACTACTTGTGTATACAGCGTGTCGTTACCATCGCGACAATAAATGAACACACGTCTAACGCTACTTGCCAATAATCATAAAAAAATATTAACGTTAAACAAAATCCATAATTAAAAAAAAATATTTTTCAAACAAAGTAATTAAGTAAAAAAGAAACAAAATTTGTAACATCCTATACAACTCGCGCCACAGCGTCGTATTACAAGCCTCTCCTTCTAACAGTATGTTTCGTCTCTTTTAAATTCATTCAACCCATTTATATGCTTTGTGACCTTTACAAATGAACTTTACGTTACGCTTTTATAGGTAAGGGTGTTCTAAAATTCTTTGTTTTGGAAAATTTCATAACCCTGTAAATATTGATGTTTAAAGAATTTAAATGTTTAATACAACTTTAAAAAGTTATCCCCTATATGTGTGTTCATATATTGTCGCGATGGTAACGACACACTGTATAACAGAAATTGTACATATAGTGTTATCGGTTATTTTTTATTCTTCTAACTACTAATAACAAGTGAAATAGTCAATAAGTAAATATTTGCAATGTTTACATGAAAACGTAGTGTTGTTCATAGCATGGTTGTTTGAAAATTTTATCGAGACTTTATTTTTTTTGGCTCCACTCGTCAAAGTATCAAGTTCGTTACCACGAAGAAGTATTGATAGTCAGATTAAAATGAAATAATACAATTATACATCATTAAGGACATCGAAAATGTGAAGTATAATTGTGTTTTTGATAATAAGTCTTCTGTAATGCATTAAATTAATATTTAATTTTTTTAGATTTCCGATAAATGAAGCTCTCCGCAAATTATGGATGGAAAACATAGGCACAGAAAATATAAAACCTGCAAGAGTCCTCAGAATATGCTAAAACATGTGTGGTCACAGAACACTAATACTCTCATGGTTTTATGATGTAATATTACACCACTCACAAATTTATAATTTACTTTAATGTTATCTCACAGCACAGAATGGAATTATTCTTTTCTTATTATTTATTAATTATTCTCTCTTATATTTTAAGTTGCATTTAAGATTAAAAGTTTTGAGAAGTGAGAGAAATTTGACTTGATCTGGTGAATCCGTTGAAATGCTTTTTGATTTATTTCCTTTGTTTTTTTATTTTGGATATTTTTTATTTGGTTGGGTTCATAAAAATAAAAGTAAACATATATATATATATATATATATATACCTATAATTATTGACAAATATGGACATAGATACGACAAACAGACTCAAACAAAAGACAAATTCAGGTGAAAACTCTCATGGTGAGTATTTCTTCTCACTTCTATTTAAACAATAGCATCATCGTCTTTAACTAGTATCCTACTTATTAAAGGCTGGCACAATACGTTAATTTCGGTATATATTTTGATAAAATTTAATAGCATCCACCCTATGTATGTTCGACTGCAAAGCACGAATCTCCCCTGTTAATTATCTCCCTAACCTTATGTATAAAATAAAATGTTTATTGTAATTTCACGTTACTTTTCAGGCTATGGTAGTTAATGCAACCAAAAATGTCCAAAAGTTATGCAGACAAGTGAAGTTACAGCAAAGGAAAATAAAGATACTTAGTCAGAAGGGCCGCAGACTGAAGCAGAAGGTGTTCACTTTCCAAACGACTATTGACGATTTGAAGAAACATAATTTAGTTAATTAATTTATTCAATTACTTAATTTAGTTTCATGGAAAAAAACACTCAGAAAATATATCAAAGCGCAATATTTTAACAAAATTAATATTATTCCGCCATGAATAAACGATTTTATTCAATATACTAATTGTTTTTTTTTTATTTTATTTAACTATTTATTACAATAAACTATTTTATGTTACAATGCTGATAGCAAATACCACTTTTAGTTTACATTACCCTTACATTAGGTTAACATTATTTTTTTTTAGTTTTTACCCCCTACCCTTCAACTAGTGGCAAATGAGAATTAATAGAAAGGTGTGCAAAGTTAATAACATTTTTGCGTGTCATCGATATCAATATGGGTATAAATATATCGATATCTATATGGACTTAATAAAACAACACTATTTGCTGTGGGCGATGTCGACGCTAGGCATGAGATATACCTGCAACATTCTATACCCGGCCTCAAAGGTACGGGTATCGCCGTATACCCGGTGCTAAAACCCAGTATCAAAATACCTATAGGTATTAGTTATGTTCAGGCCTCCTTTTGGAGACCCGGTATGGAATTGAATCTTTCTTTGACTACCTACATTTAGATGTTTTTTTAGCAATCAGTTTTTTTAAATTGAGATTTAATCAGTCTAAAATAAGCTCCATCTTTACTAAAGCTCTAAAGAACGCTATTATCAAAAAAAGTAATTCAAAATAAATATTACTGTTTAACCTTATTACGCAATTATTTAAAAACTTTATATAAATTTATCTCAAGGAATTCGGGCATGATCGGGAAGAGCCGCCGTAAGTGTTCGCGGAACTTCGTACCTATTCGGCCGGCGGGTTGTCGCGAGCGTTATATACCGCCACCGTCGGACGAGGCGGCCATACCTATCGGGTATGGAACGGGCCTCTACCGTACATACCTGGTGTGCGTACTGGTATGTTCATACTGGGTATTTATACCTGTTCCAGTATATACGCTTCATCCCTAGTCGACGCCATTTTAGAGAAACATTTGGCTTCAGCACACGTGACCTAACGTGATATCCTCTTATATTCTTTTATCAATGACTTCACTTCACTTCTATTTTAAGAAATTTTTGTCATGTCAAGCGTACCAAATACGCTATCCTTTTTATATCACTCGACATGTGTGAGAAAATTATGATGAACTTACGTTTGAATATGTGGTGCTATCACTGTGTTTGGAATACTTTTGAACGGTAGCTTAATATTTACATCTATATTATAAAATATCATCGTATCGTCTATTCCATTTCCACAGATATATAAAAGTACTCTTTGCATTTCCATTCGCTTGCTACACCTAACCTGGAATATATCTATAGTTTAGGTTTATTTGAAATATTAAAAATTTAAATTTTTAATATGTATAATAACCGTTTTACGAATACAGATTTACTTATTTTTATATAACCGTAATAATAGTGAAACTTTGAAATTAATACCATAGCAAAAACCTTTTCCTCAAACGTCAGTTCAACATGACAGAACCGTAGATGAAAAAATAAATAGCGCCATTTTAAATTATTTTCTCAAATATTTTACAAATTGTTCATTTGAATTATTTTCTAGTTTTGTTTATTAAAACTGGTTAAATTATTTAGTAACCTGTATTGAAATGGGAAAGCCGTCGTCAACTCGTCTCTCTGTTAGTTGATTTTTAATAACGTTCCGAGAAAATCACTTATTTTGTTATAAAGGAAGTATGTTGAATTCGTTAAAACCAATGACCATGGCCAAATGGCCATACAATCCACAGGTGCTTTGGTGCTGGGTCATGTTTCATCAAATTTTTCAACTATTTTTTAAATGTTTAGGATATTTTTACAATATACTATACATTGTTACAATACCGCAGACATAGTTTGCCATTGCTCTTTATTGTTCTTCTTTCAATAATCCGATATATTTGTTTGTGTGGACAACAATATAATAGTTTAGGCATCAGTGTCGTTGTTATTGATCATTTTTATCATTTTTACTTAGTTATATTATACAATGTTAATATAACTAAGTAAAAATTTGAATATTAATATGGCTGTGTACAGTCCATGTTAATGCATAGGTGATAGAGCGGTTATGCGTAAATTGAATGTGCATTAATTTTATTTTAGAGAGATTCAGATCATTCCACAAATCAGAAAAAAATCAGTGTAATGAGTGTACAAAAGTTTGGAATGAAGAAAAAGAAACATAAAAAGAAAACGCTGACCAATGTCATTAAACTTGTTGATCAGTTAAAAGACGAAAATTTGTCTGCAAACACATCCATTACCTCGACAAGTTCAGGATACACGGTGATAGATTTAGATGCTTCCACAAATCAACCTACAATAAGTAAAAATGATAGTGCAGAGAATGATCAAGACCTTATTGTCATATGTGACGATGATGATGTGGTAACAAGCAAAAGATCTTCTGTCACTATAAATATAAATAAACTCAAATCTCCCTTGCATTGTTCAACACCGATGAAGGAATCAATAAAGGTGTCAAATATTTGTATTCCAAACAACAATAACAACTCTACAGACAATCTAAACAAAGAAATATTTAACTTAACAAAAGAAATAAATAGAGATTCATATTTAACCATAGATCTAACAGAAGATAGCATTTTGCGAAGAAGTGGCAGTTATATTAACCAAAATACAGTGATTGATTTAGTCAATACATCAGATGGGAAAAACTGCACTTTAACGTCTGTTAGTAATACTAGCCTAAATCCAAGCATGAGCGGAGACTCTGATGTTACTGTACTTAATATGGGCAATAACACAAGTGACAAAAAACCAAATAAACAAATGCGAAAATTTGTTAAGGGAATATCACAGTTGGATTCCAAAGAGAAAGGAAAACTACTTAAATTAATTACCGAAACTATATTTAATGGGTGTAATGTTAACAACAGCTCCAGTAAAATTAGTCTTGGCCTCAAGGTACATATGTTAATTATCCTACACACACATTTTGTATATTGGTCTTATTCAGAGGATGAAGCAAAATGTAAATTCGTAATCATAATACACTTAAATAATACATTGATAATCTTTGCACATTTTCCTTGCTTACTCTCTTAAAATTGATGTGTTTTGCCACACAGTCTAAATCAACCATTTTGTTAGATACAATAGGCCTTAAATTTTCTATATTCTTAATTTTTTTTTTGTACATAACCATGTAAGTTTCAACATCAACAGACTAATAGGGGAACAGAGACTGTAGAAGATACATATATCAAAGAAGTTATTCTTGGTCAAACCAATTCAAGGAACAGTATAGGAAGTAACATATACAATCCAGAAAAAGACATGAAAAACCGAACTGGCCTTAGAATGGTTGTTATTGATGGCAGCAATGTAGCTATGCAGTATGTATAAACATTCTAACCATCCACTGGTCTTGAATTCATTTTACCATAGTTGGGAATAAAATTCTGTGTAAAATATGTACATTTATCTTAATAAATTAAACAAAAAATAAACAGCTCTCTTGCTAACTAATGAGGAAGACAGAGAGAGCCTATGCTTTCCATTTTTCAATAAACTTATTTCAATTAATTGATTCAATTTAATAATTTCCTAAGAGGTGAGGGCATTGGGCCATGTGTTTTAAGGGTTTCAACATGTAATTATTTTTATAATATTGCAGGCATACCATGGGTAAAGTATTTTCTGTCAAAGGTCTAAAAATATGCATAGATTATTTCGTAAGGCGAGGGCATGTAGTCAAGGCTTTTGTTCCAAGGTTTAGGTAAACATTTTTATATACATTACTTTTGTAGATAAAAACTTAAATCTATAATATACTTGAATGAATGAGAAAGGGCCAGACATCAATCTTTGCTGTTGTATTTATACTTTTATGATTAGTCTTGTGAGTGAGGTAACCTGGGCCAACTTTATAAAAAGGTGGCAACGTCTATGGGGGTGATTATCACTTAACATTAGGTGATCTGTCTGGTTGCTTGCTACCTTCTCACATAAAAAACACGAAACCTAAAATGTTTTGTTTCATTTTATTTAGATTAATGAAGAATGAATAGAGAGAGAAAATGAAAAATGAATAGAGTTCAATCAAAATTTAGTTAGAGTGACCTATAAATGTGGAAAATGAAAAACAGTACAAAATTATGACATCATATGAATTACCTTTTACTGTAAAACTTTTTATCTGTTATAGGTGTAAATTTGGAAAAAGCACAGAGCCAAGGCTGTTGGACAGTTTGGAACGGCAAGGACTTGTGGTGTACACTCCATCCCGTGAGATTCAGGGCAAAATGATAACATCATATGATGATAGGTAATGTTGTTACTATTTGAGAAAAGTGCTAAATCATTCCATAACAAAGTGATGTATGTCCTGTAAAAAAATCAACCAGCTATGGCAGAATATATGTTTTTAAAATAATTAGGCATATTAAAGCTATGAATAGTTTCATGATACTATAAAATATAGTGATAGCTCAGTGTCCGGGCGCTCGCCTTTAATTCAATATACTCGAGCAACCTGAGTTCGATCCGCGGTGCCGGCACCAATGAAGTTTTTAACTTTAAGTGCTGACTTATCACGTGCTCCGCGGTGAAGGAAAACATCGTGAGGAAACCTGCATATTTTCGAAATAATAACAAAAAAAATATATATTTCGAAGATCTGTGAAGTCCACCAATCCGCAGTGGGGCCGCGTGGTGGACTATGCCCTGATACCCTCTGTATAGAGGAGGCCTTTGCCCAGCAGTGGGACATGTATAGGCTGTTACTTTACTATAAAATCAATTGATGAAGAAACAAAATAGTAATGATAATTACATTACTGATTTGTTGTACATATACTTTCCTCCAATGCCAATGCAATGTTTAGGGTAGTTTACTGATGACTGCTAGTATACCACATGCACTGCGAATGTGTATGCGAATTCATAAATCAAAGCAAACTCTGCCTTCATTGAAGTCAAATTATTTCAAGGTCTTGCCTTTTGTTTTTGTTAGTTTTTTAACATGCATATATAGCCAAGTATGCGAAAATTTACAATTGCCTATCTCTCCCGCCTTTTCTGTATCGTAGCGTGTTCGATTACCGCGTTTTTCACTGTGTGTTTTTTTGTTTTGTCTCAGTTATCAATTATTTTTATTGCTACATCAACAGGTACATAGTGCAATGTGCGGCAGAGTTCGATGGCGTGATCGTTTCGGGCGATAATTACAGGGACTTGATGCTGGAGAACCCTAGGTGGCGGTCGGTCATTGAGAACCGCCTGCTGCAGTTCACGTGGGTCGGGGACATGATAATGTTCCCCAGGGACCCCTTGGGCCGCAACGGGCCCACACTCGAACAGTTCTTACGGCATTCATAAAGCTTCAAAGCAGACTATTGAGTAAGCTATATTAGCTGCCCAAATTTCTTTCTAATATGTACATAAGGTGAAGCTCAAATATTTGAAAAGATTTTCGTATACATCGCCATTTGATTGCAGTATGGAGAATACTAATGAATGTTTTTATGGAATAGTTAGTTGGTTCCTTGGTGAGGTTACCTTGACAAACCAAAGAAAAGTAACTAACTTTTTATACACAACCTGACGATTGTACGCATTTCACTTGTTGAGTATTTGGACAAACATTTTACAATTTTCGTTTAGATTAGTGCTTTATTTTTGTATATAAAAATATTTGTCAAATGTTTGACTAAATTTTCAATTATGGCTCTTAATTTTATATAAGATCTTTAAACAAGATAAATGCTCATACTTAAGCCTATAGCATAGTAACCTATGGATCTCTTTGTTTTGTAATATGTACCATACTATTATAAATTCCATGTCTTGTGTCATATGTACGCCTAATGCCTGTTAAATTAGGTATTTAGATACTATTTATTTATTTGGATTAAGCTAACAAAAATAAGGAGTAATACAATGATAATATGGAAAGTGTATTTGTACTAACAATGCGGATTTTAGTTAGTCATGTTACAAGGAAAATATGAAAATTTCATACATTATGTGTTATTTGTCTATAAGTTATTGTATATATATATATATATATATATATATATTGTATATATATATATATATATAATTTAGCCATTGCCTGGCTCAGTCCAGAGCAGTTATTCTATATCATGGTATGTGTATAAATATATTAAATTTGATATGATTGAACACAACAAACTGTCTCTTTTGATACAATTAACTACACAGCAAGAGTTATTTTTAATAATATTAAAAATAACTTTAATCAACTAAATTCATTGCGCTCGGACCATGCAGCAGCTTGCTGTTGCATGGTCCAAACGCTCGAGTCAGCTCGTCCGAGGTAGGACCAGGCCTCACAGAATATTGCGTTTAGTGGTTGGTATTATTCTTTTGTGTTTCGTCTTGAAAGTGAGTTTGTGAGCCCACTTGAAAAGGTGACAACACATCTGAAATACGACTCATTTGCGAAAAATATCAATTAACAACAGACGAACCACCAGCTTCCAACCACAACTGGTATAGGCGTGACCTGGATATTTCACATGATCTTCGCCTTGCCCATGTTCATTTTAAGGCCCAACTGATGGGAGACTATTCCGGTTAGGTAAGTCCGACTTCGACGCAGAGGTCAATCAACGAATCCAATTACTCGACTGGGCAGCGTTCGGGAAACTTCGGCATATCTTCTCGTCTTATATCCCTCAATGTTTGAAGGCAAAAGTCTTCAATAGTATGTATGTTGACAGTGATTACCTACGGAACTAAGACGTGGCCCTTCACTTCTGGTCGCATGAGGAAGTTCAAAAGTCACTCAGCGAGCTATGGAATGAGCTATGCTCGGTATTTCTATGCGTGATAGAGATCGCAACGAAAACATCCGCCGTAGAACAAAGTAACCAAGTAGTAAGCTCAGATGGTTGGCAAGCTAAAGTGCCGATGGGCCGGCCATATAGCTCTTAGAATCGATAATCGATGGGAAAGAAAGGTTCTTGAATGGCAGTCTCGTACTGGCCATCGCAGTGCAGGATTTGTGCGAAAGCGAGGGAAGTCGATGGATGCAGGTGTAGCACTCTGTGGGGGAGACCTTTGCTCAAAAGTGGACACAAACAAATGAAGATCGCCAGCTCGCTTGAAACCTGAAATAAAAACAGCTAGTTAAGGCTCGCTCGCGAGTTTTGAAAAAAGTTACAGGTAAGGAGCACTTAAAAAGAATATTTTAATAAAAATCATGTGAGATTTTAATAATGTAGACAATCATTAATTAAGACGACCAGCTAGTAGGCATATAACAGCACTGAAGCGACAACTTCAACGACACCTTTGCATAAACTCTCGTTACCACCGGGCAGATATCTAAGGCCCATATTAAAAAAAAATGTGTTATACTGTATAATGGGTTTCAAATAAGAACAGAAAAGCCAATGTTTATAAATAGCTCCTTTCAATAAATATAAAATTGTAAACCAACAACAATTTGTTAACTGATGCACGGTTAGAATTAACTTCGCGTACTCTGCAGTCTTGGGAAGCCATCCATGACACCATTGTCCTGCTCTGTGACCTTTCTAAAGCCTACCTGTCTGTATCGATGATACAGTTCTTATGAGGAAATTAAAATACTATGGTATTCCCAAATTTGCCATTGACTTTGTTTCCTTTTATCTTACAGACAGAGAACCAAAAGTTCATAAATGTATAATGTCATCGGGGTTAATAGTACAAATGGGTATACCTCGGGAGATCGGTTCTGGTTGCATTTCTGTTTTTAATATCATTGATTTGGCATATAAGGTAGACAAACAGTCTAATAGCTTTTTTTCTGGAAGACACTTCCCAAATTGTTTAAATTAAAAGGATACACAGAACACTACAGATAGTGACCATCGTCTATCTGTTCGAACCGTTTGGAATAATAAAATTAAAATAGTTTCATTTCAAATGTAAAGTACGAGAAGTTGGAAACCAACCATTTTCTTTTGAACAACACCAAAACTAAATGTATCAGATTTACTCTTAGTTGTCTCAAAAGCAGGAATCTGTGGATGCCCCCTTGAGGCTTCACCAGATTTTCTTGAAATATGCATTGACTTGCAGGTCAGTAAAATCGAACGAGGCAACATCTTATCTTGTATATTATACTTATTTTAACAATAGTAAGTGATACTATTAGTTATATTAATAGTATGTTATTTTGGCATTCCGCACCTTCTATTAACAATAATTGTTTTATTCTTTTACAAAAGCAAATGATACGGTCTGTGGCAAACTGGCAACGCCATTCCGTTGGATTGTCGTCCAAAAGCTTTAACTGTGTTAGACTGGTAGAGCTACGCACAAACAACAGTCTTTGCTGTTGCACGAATGGGCTAGTCTATTGTGCGGTTATATTGGTAAAAATACTCATTGTAACGTCCAGGGCCAGATTTATAGGTCTAGAAGCCTCCGGGCAACAAAGAAGTGGAGGCCCCTTGGCCCCAAATTATTTTCTATTGATTTCTGTTAATATTTAATGTAATCATCTTTGTACAAAGTACTGCAGGTAAAAGTAAAACGCGAAAAAGCTACGGAAAGAAAAGTTGTTTACTAGTCTGAATTAGATTTTTTTTCCGAAGTCTATTGTGGGGGCCCTCGTCTGTGGAGACCACGGGGCTATTGCCCCGGCGCCCCGGTTGCCCTCCGCTAAATCCGGCCCTGGTAACGTCTACAAAAAACTTACTTTGTATAAATATTAATTACTTATTCGTCGAACGTAAACCTTAAAATTTTCCCTATCAACTGTTTTCTTGGATTTGAATGCCTATTAGATGTAATCTTTAAGTGTTAGGTAAAAAATTACGGTAAAAGAAAGAAATTTGTCGGTGAATTAGAGTTTCCTGCGGTAGGGCCACGCAGCAGTGTCCGCTGTTGGACGAATGGGCAGGTCCGTCCGGGTAAGTAGACCTCACAGAAAACCGGCGTCAAGTGGGAGTATAATACTTTCGCGTTTCATACGGCTCCCTTAGCAACTTTTTACATTTAAAAAAATTGCATCGAAAGACGTTAAAAATGAATATTTTAAAACTCTATTTTACATTACAATTTTCTATGATAACTATTTAGACAACAACATACCCTATAGCATTGTAACTGATTTCAATATTTGTAAAATAAATTATCAATAAAAAGTTCTGGTTTGAAAATGCAGGTTGTTAGCCAAAAAATTCTATTATAATAATAAAATAATTTCCGAAAGTACTCATGCCGATTACCGACTGATCATTGTAGTACGGATGCCGAAAAATATCGATATTTTTTTATACGATATATCGATATAAAACATTTAATATCGAAATCGTATCAAAAACTATATTTTATTTTAAATTCGAATCCAGGGCAGACTGTACGTTCAGATATTTAATTCTTGGCTAAGTTTTTTTTGAACAACGGGGCCTAAATAGAAAATATTGATATATTTTTTTCGACAATCGACTATCACCTAGATTACTTTTCTTTGCATAGGTGGATATGCGGTTTATCTAGGAGTCTCACTTCAAAAATCATCGCAGGACCTAGGGATGCCGAAAGTCGGAAAAAATATCGATATATTGGTCAAATTTTACGTTTTAAAATTAAATATTTAATAAATATAAATAATTATAAAAAATAATGTATTTACTTCAGTCTGATTCAATAATAAGTAATAGTAATTTTTATTTCAAATTCACATTATTTTAATGAATGAGAAATTTTAATAAAACGTTAATTATTATTTAATTTTAATCAAATTTCTTTTATTAATTAAAATTTCTAGGTATATTATTTATCAAGATCTTCATTGGAAAAAAACAAACAGCTTATTTAGTAAGATAAATCAGTTTCTTCAGCCCTGAATTGAATCAAAAAATAACTAATAAAAAAATGTAACTTTGTAAAAAAAAAGAATTGCTCAAAACGACGATAATGGGTCAAAAATAAACCCGAGAGACGTCCTAAAAGACACTAAGATGACGAGAACTTAGTAATAGTTGTTTGATTGACATGAGAATGCTAAACAACAATTTAAAAATTACTTATGTAGTTAAATAATAATAATTTTTGAAGTGAAACTTCTTTATCGGGGTTGGAAAAAAAATTAGTGTAACATTTTTCCGTTACGCGCCATCTTTTTTTTTCTTAAAATGTTCCTCTAACGCCATCTAGTGTTGAATAGGGGGTTTTATGTCGTCTTTATTCTTGTGGTTTTAATAGTTGACGCTAGATGGCGTTAGTTCCTTTGTGTGTTCATAGCAATATATATATATATACAGCGTGTCGTTACCATCGCGACAATAAATGAACACACGTCTAACGCTACTTGCCAATAATATTTTTAAAAAAATTTTAAAAAAAATATTTTTCAAACAAAGTAATTAAGTAAAAAAGAAACAAAATTTGTAACATCCTATACAACTCGCGCCACAGCGTCGTATTACAAGCCTCTCCTTCTAACAGTATGTTTTGTCTCTTTTAAATTCATTCATCCCATTCATATGCTTTGTGACCTTTACAAAACAACTTTACGTTACGCTTTTATAGGTAAGGGTGTTCTAAAATTATTTGTTTTGGAAAATTTAATAACTCTGTAAATATTGATGTTCAAAAAATTTAAATGTTTAATACAACTTTAAAAAGTTATCCCCTATATGTGTGTTCATTTATTGTCGCGATGGTAACGACACGCTGTGTATGTTATATTAAAGTGATCAGCAAAATCAAAGGCTTTATTTTAATTCTAATTCTAAAATGTAAACAATATATTTCGTATTTCAGTTACCATAAGCCATTAATAACACAAATATATAATAACGACATCAATGATAGTAATAATTCTATTACCATTAATGAAATTAAATAATAATCTTTGTAGTAATGACAGTGCTAGCTCTAATACTTTAGAGCACGACACTGTGTCGACTTCCTCTTCTCCAAAGGCAGGCACCGCCCACCGTGACCTGACTGCGCCTTCCACCGAAGACACAATTTGAAGCTGACCGATGATGCTCTTCGAAGCCTCGATCGGCTCCTGGAACTTGCGGTTGCGACGTCGATACAACCGTCCGCAAGTTCGGTTTTCCAAAAAAAAACTTCACTCACAACACTCGCGCGCAAGTCGAATGTCTGCCTTCTACTCACTGGCTGACTATTCGGCAACGACGGACCATGTACAAATTCAAAGCGGTTCTATTTTAGGTCCGTGAGGTTAATTGAAATAAACAAGGTTCACGTTGCAAGTTTTTTAATCAACAATTTTTGCGGACCCTCATACTAATTACAACGGTCAAACCATAGTGTCTTTTAATTTACTACTAACGCCACTTATGTATTACAAATAAGATACTAAATATTATACAAAACAAATAATTGTAGAATTTGTATTTATGTCTATGATAATAAAAGCCTTTTATTAAACTTTATCTAATTTAACTTTATTTAACCAATTTCTGTAAAGTTGCATATAGTAAATTATTTTTTGAAAAATAACGTCATAAAAAAGTTTCACTTCTTACGAGTGTACGTTAGTACACGCACACATTTTTTATTATGTCAAACAATTTTTATTAAAATTTATTTATATTGTGACATTTAATTTTTGAGAATTTGCATAAAATTGTAGTACAAATAGTTTTTCCGTTCATTTTTATCTTTATCTTATTTTTACGGCTTTGAATCAATTAATATTCAGCGGAATTAAATTTTGAATAAAAACATCGTTTTTGATATCGATATATCGGATCAAAGTATATCGATATTATTTTTAAAATTATTTTCAGCATCCCTAGCAGGACCATAGGATTTCTAATATGCATTTATGCAAGTAGGTAGGCATTTCCTATATTACAAAGTACTCTGTGGCCCGACGTCTTAGTAGGTAATTTTTGGGAGACCACTGAATAATGGAAAATGTTGAAGGTTTAAGTAAAAGACGGAAATAATACATGTTTTATTTTTTATCAGATTTTATACTGAAAACTGCGCTTCTTTTCAAAGACAGTCCTTTTGATATCCTAATATATTATGGTTAAAATAATTCTAATATGGAATACAATTTTTAATGATCCATGATACGAGAATATAAATTATAGATCATATTTGGATTTCGAAAGTTTTGGTTGTAGTTAAAAAAATATTGAGATATTAAAAAAAATATGTTTTTCCAATACCATGCAAATGGAGCCAGTGATGTACATACACAATACATATACATAAACTGTTAGGCAAACTTCTCAAGTACAAATATAATTGCAGTTATAAAGAACAACCTTATCTATAATCTCACTTTGCATAATTCAAGCTCTTCCTTACACTATGCAGTCTTTTAGTCTGACAATCAATTCCCTCCTGATTACCTGATAAAACGATCCAAATATATACCTACATATATTCGTACGAAATGAAACTATAACGCAAATTCTATGAGAAAAGCATGGCAAAAAATCGATCTTTCTTTTAAACGACACATTAATTTTAAAAAAAAATTAAGTTGAATGCAATAGTCCTAATTGTTCTTTTATTAATAAAAATAATTTAATTGAAATCTATTAATTTTATACGATATAAATTTTACATTCAATAAATAACGGAATGGGCATAAATTGGAGACCAATTGACTAAGAATTGACACCTAAGTTCGAAAAAAATACATAGGACGATATTTTGGCACTCCATATCAGATATATTATTAATGCCATGGAATTACAATTTATTAATATAAACTATTATTAAACTAAAATTTATTAAAAAACACTACATATTTTGAACAAATTATACTGTAAGAGAGAGATTATCAAAAAATCGATTTCGCATCAAAATAGTTTGTATCAACTCTCTTACTAAGATTGAAAGATTCATAAAACGATTCAAATTAAATTTGCTCAGTGTGGACTTTTGGGTGAAGTAATGCTTAAATATTAGTAGTCCCTTGTAAGAATGAATAAAGCAAACTGACAAATGAGGGAAAAAAGAAAAATATTTTGATTATACAACAAATTAACGATAAGGAAATAATATTAATGTAATACCAGCAACATAAAATAAAATTACAATAAACTACAATATCTTATAAAAAAACTAACAAAAACAACAAATTTGACAAACAAACAACATTAAAACATGCTTACACTTAAATTCAAGCAAAGTAAAGTGCATAAAATTATTACAATCAATACTAAATTACAATTAATAAAAATATAACTCTGGTAACATTAAACTGTCTCCATGCAATCCGTAAAACAATTTAAATTGTATACAATTAAATACCGATTTATAATTGATATAATAACAATATTCATAACAATGACATTTAGTTATTTTCCTTTTCTTAATTTTGTATTGTAATTTATGAAATCTCAATTTAAGTTAATTAGCATAATAAGGGTACGCATAATAATGTATACGCAAAATTTTGGATGTATGTTTGTCTCCATACATCTTTAATATAAAGCTAAAATACAATTTTTATGAGTTTCTATTCAGAATCTATTTGCGGCTATGGATCTATAAAGGGAATATAGTTAAATGTACGATATAACATAATGACATTATTATTTAATGTCTTTTAATCGACTAGATTTGATTCTATTAAGCCTACTACTAAAAGGGAACAGAAATTATCTATTTTGACTAAATTACAATGGACAATTTCGTTGTAATGTTCATATAGAATAAATATTTAATTATTCTATATATAAACAATAACAATAAGGCAACATCTTGAAGCATTTTGAACATTACAATTACATTAAAATTTTAATTTAATTTTTCTATGGCAATTAGCTAGGCCGAGAATGGAAGGAATTGTGATATTGTATTTGGCCTCCAAAAAGCATGATTTTTGTTTACTTTCATTATACCTACTTGTGTTATGTGTGAGGTCAGTGGATTCTGACTTCTCACTTAAAAAGACAATTGGTATGAAGATTTGTAATTTGCTTTCAAAGTCAAATGTATGTAGTAACGGCTTGTATGTATGTCCCACCGGTTTATGCGGCCGGTTTTAATATTACATTTAGATGATTTTGTTACAGGAGATGGAATTTTGTCGTAAGTATGGAGCAAATAATTATTGCTAGTGACAAAATCTATCCGTAGACGGAATATTGAAACCGGCCGATAGTCTACTTATTTTTTGATTCTTTGATAGACTTTACATATTTTCGAAATATTTATTTTTTATATTTCTAAGAAATGCTACCCCCGCAATGTTTTCCTTCATCGGCGTGATATGCCAACAACGAGATTCGAACTCGGGCCGCCCGGCCACCGAGCCGTCACGGCTGCGGCGAACCAAGTGGTCTTGACACATCTTCCAAATATTGATGTTTCATTGCTATATCTAAAATATGCAGGTCCCACGATGTTTTCCTGGATCGCTGCGGACGCGGAAGTCGCTCAGAATTCGAGCACGGAGCGGCGAGACAAGTGTGAGAATGCAGTCAGGGCGGCGCCGCTGTCCCGTCGAGGCGCATCTGCTCGAGCTGCAGCTGCCTGCGGATACGGATGGCCAAAAATAATCGTTTTCTTTTCTTATAATCGATGTTGAAAAACGATTTTTTTCAATAATAACTATTGATTTTTAACCGATTTTAAAAAGAACGATGTTATCAATTCGGATGTTTACATATTTTTTTTCAACTCCAAAACTTGTTAAATTTTGTTAGAGGTTAGATAGGTTAGGTTATATAGGTTAGCTTTTCAAGATTTCATTATATTATATTTAGTATTATAATAAACTTTAGCGTTTTTTTTTTTGTTGTTTTTTTTTGTTAAAAGCTTTTTATTAATAAATTGATTCTAATAAAATGTTAAATGGCATTGAATATTTTAAAATTTTAAAATATCAAATAAACAATGGTATTTCAGTTATGAAACCGGTAGCTTGTTGTTATGTTAGTTTTTACTAGTGATGTTTTAAAAAGCCCCACCGGCGGATGGCGCCGAGCTGCGTGAGGATGCCGCCGTGGCGCTTCGGCAGCTGGGGCTCCGCTTTGGGCCGCGGCGGGTTGAGGTTCCTCCGCAGGCGCGCCTCCACATCCACCTCCACCTCCTTTGCACTCTCCTCGATCTCCCTCTGAGCATTTACGCGCCGCTTCTCCGACTCCTCAGAATTCTTCTTCATCTGTAACGGTTTCATGTATGTCGTCGCAGCGTCATATCTATTGTTTCCATGCCTCCTACCAAATAAATTCGCTTCCCCTTCAATTTCAATATAAAATACTAAGGATACTACAACACTTATACTAAGGACACTACAGAACTGATAAACATCCTTACCTTATGCAAATAAGTACATTTTATAGACATACAAACACCCAGGCAATGTACACTATGTTCATCACTCCATATTTTTCCAATAGTGGAGATCGAATCCACACCCTCTGGTGCAAGAGGTAGGTGCACTTCTCCCCACGCAATCGGCTCGTCAAACCAATACAATGCTTACGTGCAAGTCGTGAGGTTTGTGGTGATGGTGATGGTGTTGGTGTTGGGGCTGGGACTGATGGGGGGTCAAGGCGCTCAGCTGCCGCTCCAGGCGACGCAGCTCTGCCTGTTCCAGCAACCTGACACATGTTTCATTAAGTATTCATAACATTGGCCATACTGTAGGACAACTTTGTCCTTATTTTTAAAGTAAACGACTTTTAAATTCATAATTTTTACGTGGACAAACGCCCATACTGGAAACAATTGTCTGCGGGTCACAAAATAGTTTACCCGTGTTTTTTTTTAATGTGAAAAGTTGCCAAGCCAGGAGGCGGATCACCTGATGTTTAGTGAATACCGCCGCCCGTGGACATCTGCTACACCCGAGGGTTGCAGATGCGTTGGACAACCTTTTGAAAATTGGTGCTAAAGCCAATATCTCGGCCAATGCACGAGACATCACTTTAAAAAAACTCCATTGTTATTGTTGTATAGTTAATAGTATCATTGTAATGTCATCACTTGATATATTCAGAATTACACTCTATTAAACCGGCAATATGCTTATTAGACTACCAAAGGAACTTATTGTAAAAATTGTAGTGTGTTAAATATAAATGCTGGCCTAACTGACCAAATTTAGTTAGGCATTTCCACACTTAGAGAAACATACAAAAGACTGATTTCTCGGGGTTCTTGTAAGTCTATAAATATAACTAAATAAATTAAAGTAAAATTTATAAAATCCATTTTTAACCTTTACTCTCTAATCTAACTACTCCACTGAACCACAAACTTGGTAATTAGTGTGTAAAGGCATACCATACTTATTCATTTATACTTTTTGGGTAGCATTATATGTTAATTATTAATTTTATGGAAATTATCAAAAATATACTACATGAATCAACAAAATGAACAACACAAAGTTCACCTAATGATTTCTCGAGTTAGTCACACTTTATGGGTTCATAGCATGTGAGCTTATGATGTCTTTGATAGAAAGTATGAGTTTATGGTTTTCCACGCAAATTTGGAGATATGGTAAATTAATTAGTTAATTTTTTATCGCAATCATTTGCATAAATTCCTTCCAACAAAGGAAAATGCAATCGGTATGTGTAATGATATGGGGCTTATTGGGCACCGACCTCTCCCTGGCCTCCCTCTCCTCCCTTATCCTCTGCTGCTCCAAGATCTGGTTCTTCAGCTCCCGCTGGTAGTATTCTCGTCTCGCTGCGGCTTCCTGGAACGTTAGTGGAAACAATCAATTACGCTGTTACAATTTGGACGCGCTCCGATTTAGGTGTTCTTGTGGCAACACTACCTCATTAGCAGCATTCAGTAAAGGTAGTAAGTGTTAGTTAATTTAGTTATTTTATTATTTTGTCCTATTTATTTTTTTGCAATAAAGAGATTGCGTGAATTGTTGTGGGTAGCAGTTACATCAACTTATGTGAAACTTGGACATTTGTTTGTGTGCTTTAATAAAATACCTGCTCTGCGCGCATGTTACGCCTCTCGATGGCCTCCGCGTCCAAGATGGATAGTGCATAGCCCTTCTCGCTCGCTCTCTCGCCCTCTCGCTCGCACTCTGAAATAACGCAAATCGATTACGGTTACGGAAATCTGTGTGAACAATTTCCTTTAATGATATTATAGTTTACTTAAAAAGCTCCGTAGTGAATGACCTTAAATCGTTGAATAAATGTCTTATGAGATGTGAAAATATTTTTTTTAACATTGCCTTTACTATAGGATAAAATTCACTTGTGTTGTAAGGATGTTTTACATACATAAATTTCACGTGCATAAACATCTAGATCTGAAACAATTATTTGCGGGTCACACAAACAGTTGTCTCGTGCGGGAATCGAACCCACGACTCTCGGTGCCGGAGCCAATCTCGGCAACTGCGCCACGGAGTCATCGAATTATTGATTTTATGAAGCACTAGCGACCAGCCCCGGCTTCGCACGGGTGCAATGTATTACACATATAAACCTTCCTCTTGAATCACTCTATTTAGAAAAAAAAAACGACGCATCAAGATCCGTTGCGTAATTTTAGAGATTTAAGCATACATAGGGACAGACAGACAGCGGGACGACTTTGTTTTATACTATGTAGCGATTTTAATGTCGCGCTCACCTAAGCCGTGGCCGTAGCTGTTCCGGGGGGAGAGTTCCCGCTCGGCGGGCGTCAGCCGCGACTGCAACGGAATGTTCCTCATTACCAACGCTTCTCTTTCAGCATTCTCAACGCTTCGCCTTTTTTAAGTTGCACTTCTTTAGGCGCGTTATGAAATGATGAGAGTTAAATTTCAACATGTAACACAAAAGACACAACTTTGAAGCTGTCCGCTAGTTTTTATAGATGGCAACATATTCTGAATCACATTCGCACGTTACAGTACTCAATAAGGAATGTAGACGGCGCTCTCATAATTTTGCTCTACTCTTGAACATTTTTGTGAATATTATGTATATGTAGGTATATTATATTTATGTAAACTCCGCTCGGAACTTCGAGGTCGCGGCACTTACCCGGACGGAGCTGCACATTCGAGCAATGGCGAAGACTGTAGCGTGGCCCTGCCGCGGCTAAATCGCAATCGTTCTATTCGAGCCTCGAGGATCGCCATTCCACCGGCGATGTGATAAGTGCGCGAGTGACAAGCTCACTCACCAGCCAAGGCTGTCGCGCGTCCGCCTGCACCGCCACCGACCGGCCCCCCCCCCCTCCGTCTGCACGCACGCGTCCGCCCTCCTGCCACGGCGCTCAATTCACATCTTACAAATATCTCTTTAGACCTGCATATTCTCCAAACAACACAAAAATATTTAGAAGACAAGGGCCGCGGCGTGGTCTATGCTCCCCTCTGTAAAAAGGGCCTTTGCACAGCAGTGGGATATGTATACGCTGTTACTTTACTTTTTTTTTATATTTCGAAAACATGCCGACGTTGACCCTCGCCGCTGAGCACGTGATAAGCCAGCACTTAAAATTAACAATCACATTGGTGCCGGCACCTGGGATCCAACTCAGGTTGCTCGAGTACATTCAATTAGCTCTTGTTATTATTAATTATTTATATTTTCTTACGCCTATATTACATACAGTCATATTAGTATGTAATAAATGATAAACTTACATAATATTAGTATGTAGGTTTATCATTTACACCACCTACCATTGTCCAAATTAAATATTTTTAACCACAAGGTTGTCTGAAAGAGATCGCTCCTTAGCGATAAGACCGCCTTATTGTTTATACCTCTTAAGTTTATAGTTCTGTAACATTTCCTTTCATGTGTTTTTGGTGTTCAATAAAGAATATATAATAATACAGATTCTTCGAATAGATGAATTAACAAACACGGTGTAATTAAATTTAAAATTTTTAAATTTAAAATTTTTAAATTCAAAATCTCTACAACCTACTTCATTTTTTTTTACACTTTAAGCAATCCTTAACGCAATCTCCAGGGTGCGAGACATACAATAGTAACTGCACATTTTTCAAAATTATTTTTCTTACACCATTAAAATCTTTAGAACAAATTCTACAGAATAGTATAAAACATCTAATCATTAAAATATCCAATCGTATATCACATCATAGTCAATGATGCATTCAAGGATCCACTCACGCATTTTTGACTCTTATAAAATTTGTGCTTTGTCACATGCTGTTTACTTCTGAAGTACAGAATTATGTTTTACTAATGAGGTTACAAACAGACAACATCCACATATGTGACTCACGTGACATGGGCACTGTGGTTCGGCACGTGGCCGTAATTCCAACTGGCCCTCCTAACCGGACTCTCCAACTGAATCCTTTCCTCTTCTGCTTTCCTCTTCTCCCTTTCTCTTTCCTCCTCCCTAGCCCTCTCCCTCTCCTCCCGCTCTCGACGTTCCCTTTCGGCTTTCTCCTTCGCCTCTTGTTTCAGTTTCGCTTGCTGAAGTCAACACATTTCATCGACCAGATTAATGGATGCATCATTTTTACATATAAAACAGAGCAAGGCTTAAAATACGTTGTTTTTACATTGCTCCAAAACTGCCAATAATAATAATAATATTTAGAACACGTTTTTAAACAACATTCTCTAATCCTGATAACTGACTTTATTAAAATTCAAGCAGCCGCAGATACTATTTTTTTTATGTGAAAAGTTGCCAAGCGAGCTGACGGTTCCCCTGATGTTAAGTGAATGCCGCCGCCCAAAACCCAAGACCTTTTGAAAATTGGGCCTCCAGCCCCCCCACTCACCAGGAGAAACGCGAAGGTATTATACTTCCACGTTTCGCGGACGAGTCTGCCCGTTCGTGCAACAGCCGAGGCATAGAGCATCGCATAAATCACCTGATCGAGGTGCTCCCTGTACTGCTGCTGGCGCAACTTCCTCAGGGTGTTCCTCCGCCTCTCGTACTCCCCGAGCCCTAAGAGGACGTTGCCGGACGTCCTCTCGCCCCTTATCAGGGGGTTGTTGGGCGAATACTCCCCCGCTTTCAGCATCACTGGCAGACCCGTGCAGCGCTGCAAAAAAGCCATTTCAATGAGAGAGGCGGCAAGATAGCCGCCGCCCATTCACATTTGCGAGAACCAGTAATGTTGCAGGTGCGTTAGTAACACTTCCTCTTCACACCGGTCTTCTGTGAGGTCGTGGTACTTAACACAAAGTAGGCTCGTATTGCGTTCGTTGTTGTCCGTTTCGCGGGACTAACCAAAAAAGAATGAAGGCGAAACTGAAGATCCTACAAAAAGCTTTCCACGCGATGTTTACCTTCATGATTAAGCACGTGTCAGCCATATTGAGCGCATAAATATTGCCTAACGCATCATTACACTGGCGGAGCCGTGGTGGGCACAAATACGTCAAATTGAGCATATAGGAGGGTGCATGCACAGCGTTGTGTCCACAACAAATGTGCGCATATGGAACTTTTGCAGATCAACGCCCTCCCGCGGCCGTAGGGTCAAGAACCCACCGGTGTAAACATGCAAAACGGCAGCGTTGCACACGCCGCCTCCACTGGCCATAATCGCTGGACACGCGCGCCTTGCACGCGAGGGAATAGCTCAATCGCCACTCGAACAATTCCACGCTCAATTTCACCTTAGAGTAATGAAAGTTAATGTTTTGCACTTGTCATCGTGACGTTCCCAAGTTTTTTTTTATGAATTCAACAAGAAACGATGTCGCAATCGGCCGTTTAGCTTAGTGGCTAAAGTGTCAGGAGGCGAAACCCGAAGACGTGGGTTCGATTCCCACAGCGGCGATAAACTTTTCATACTTTTTTCTACAAATTTCAAAGAACTAGCCATTCTGATAAGTATTTATTCAACAACACGATTTAATAACGAATTCTTTAAAATAAAACGTAGTACTTAACTAAAAGTAGCAGGGCCCTTGTACAAATTCTTTCACGTATTTACATTTCTGTCATAATTATCTGTGTACATAAATTATAAAATAAATATAATAAAAGTAAAGAAAGAGCTTGCATTTGAGTCCATTAAAGATATTATCCCAAGGTGTGTGTCCCATCCCATCCCCAATCACCATCGTACTGCACCGGCATCAATTGCGCAATGACCGGTGCTTCCTTCAATGTAATCAAATTTCGGACCGATTGGACACCCCTTAGTGTCTAATCTAATTAGCATTAAACTTAGTTAAGGACTTTTTTTAAACTTTTTTAAATACTATTTTTTTAGAATATAATAACTATATAAATATAAATTAAATATTTTTTAAGATCCTCGGCTGCGCAACCCGTAATTCGTGTAACAATATACTTCGATTGTTTTATAATTTAAGAGGGCAAAAACATAAAATCAAAAAAAAGTAATAAATTTATTTACGCTAATTATATCAAAGAATAATAATACAAGGAAATGGAAGCAAAATTTTTCAATTAAGCTTTAAGTTCTCAAGAACTGTTTCAGACAGGATATAAATATATCTTACATCGTAATCATACGCTAAATCATTATCTGAATATAAAGCTCTTGTTTATCGCTTCGTGTATTGTTGTTGTGTATCGTTTAGTCTACAGGTATAGTCAGTACAGGTTACAGTAATGTAAGTAATATCCGTAGCGGTGGGGAAAAGCGTTTCATAATATGTTGTTCTCAAACTAAACAACGCTTGAAAATTAAGTCTTTTTGGCACTAGATATCTAACAAAGTCCGAGCACATAGAAGAAATAGGTCACATGAACACGACCTTTGGCACAATCTCACGTGGGACTATTTTGGCAAACGGACTGATATATTACTAAAAAGCTTTACAACCCGTGCACTCCCGTATTATTGATTCCCTTCGACTGGCTACCGCGACATGCGCAGGATATATGCAGCAATTGCATTGAGATTGGGTGCCGGGTCGGCTTCGTATGTTTTGTGTACTCCATAATCGTGTAAATAATTTTACATTTCGTACTTCTTGAAATAAATTTATTTCATTTAAAATGTCATCTTAATTGTGGTTTTCGAAAGGTATAATTTACATAAGACGTAGACACGAATAAAAAGTATCAGTAAATTTTTTATTTACTTTAAAAATCAGTTATTGGTCCTATTGTTATTGCATAAAACATCTTAACTAAAAGTCTTTACATGCACGGTAAGCGGTAAGAAATTTCAGGGTACATTAAAAATGTGAAATCAGCAGAATGTTTTAGGCTTTTTCATGTTTTTCAATATCAAAAATCACTGTGCCGTATTTGTGTTGCTTAAGGCAATAAGCTTCGCCACCTAATGACCGCATCGTAACAAAACAACACAAGTTCCATTTCGCTATCTCTGATTGAGATTATGATAAGTTCACAGTGACACCGTGATAGCGTGAAGCCGTAATTGCTCATTGTCCAGGTGCTCGCTCTTAATTCAACATACTCGAGCAACCTGAGTTCGATCCCCGATGCCGGCACTCATGAAATTGTTAATTTTAAGTGCTGACTTATCACGTGCTTACCCGTGAAGGAAAACGTCTTAAAAAAACCGCATCTATTCTAAGATGCGTGGCGGTTAATACTACAGTGTAGTGGAGCGTATATAGTTAGGCTGTTTTTTTACCTTACAGTGACACATTTTTTTCTGTCAGACCTTAGCAATGGCTAAATCAAAGGAGTCTCTAAGTGGATGTGGCCTTTATTTCTATTTTAAAGCGATGGCACCGGAGGATGGACGATGGCAGCGTTTAACAACATGATAATTGATGTTTAAAGAACACGAGCTGCCGATTACCTCACTCATCGGATGAAAGGCAAAGTTATAAATACTCCACTCAAGTCCTCTGTGATGCGGCGACATTTCATCGGTCAATAGTCGGGAGACCAAAGGACAAAGCCGTTTTCGCTTTACCATAATAAAGTACTCATCCCATCAAAATTACAAAATTATAGCGATAAAACTTTTTTTTTAAAAACACCGACCTTACTTTATCCGGTCCACAATTATCTGTGGGTCACACAAATAGTTGGCCGGTGTTGGAGTCGAACCCACGATCCCCGCCGCCGAAGCCAATACCTTGGCAACTGCGCCACGGATCAAGCCATCAAACTCTTTAACAGCGTCCTTCCAGGCATTTTTTAAACTACAGACAACTCTATATGCAGCCTGAAAAGCGGCTTTAACTTATATTTTAACTTTTCTCACCCAACAGCAAGGTAAAACATCCCAACGAGTTTTAATTTTGGCACAGTCTCAAGTGCGCGCCCTAATGCCAAGAGCGTGCCATTTCAAAATTTTATTGTTTCGTTGCAGGTTAAGTTGAGCGGGCATAAATTGGTGCCAGCATTGTTTCTCTCATAAGAGTTATGTATAAAATTTACCGTCACATTAACCACTGCAGCGTTTGTAAATTAAATGCAAAAATGAGCTTTATTTTGAGAACTAGAACGAACTTATGTAATCGAATCCCAAAGTAGAATATGAATATCTAATTTAAATAAAATGTTTTGTTAAGTCACCATTATTTAAATTCATAAATAAATTACGTTAGCTTAAAGTTGACGAAAGGCCCCGATGGCTCAGTGGATAACTAGCACATACGCAGATGTAGGTCAGTTCCAATTCCGCATTTGACAAATGATATTTAGTTGCATTAACTGAAATGTGAACGAGTAATTCATCAGATTGAGTTCTATGACATTTGTGATAGCCATCACATAACCACCAAACGAAGTGTTATTACTTTTATTTACTAACTTATTTTCAAATGTGGTGTAATCTCATATTGACACATTAGATCAGAGCAATAAACTTTCGGCTATATCGCTAGCTTAGATTATCGATAAAAGTATCAAAATAACAAACTCACGCGGCAAAAGCGGTGTCCGCATGGGCAGTCTTTGCAGCCCAACTAGGCGTCACGTTTATGCGACATTGCTCGTGGAACTAATGCGCGAATGTTCAATGGTCTCGGTCGGGACGCGCCCATTGCGGGCGAGGAGGCGAGCCGCACCCTGTATACCGCATGGCGCAGGGTGTGTGCTGCCGGTGTAATAAGCCCTGGTCTACATGCTACGTAGACACTGTCAGGCTAATTGTGAACAGATGTCCCTTTTTGGGGTACGTACCCAAAAAGAAAAACGGCACCCCATTACTAAGACTTCGCTGTCTGTCTGTCCGTCTGTCACCAGGCTGCATCTCATGAACCGTGAAATTTAGACGGATAAAATTTTCACAGATGGTGTATTTCCGTTGTCGCTATAACATCATATACTAAAAAACACAATAAAAAACCATTTAAGAGAGGATCCCATACCACAGACATGATTTTTTTTTGGCGTTTTTATATATAATGGTAAGGGAACCCTTTATGCGAGAGTCCAGCTCACACTTAAACAGTTTTTTTTTGTCAAAATATGGCAAGCAAGCTGGCGTTTCACCTGGATAATAAGTTATAACCACTGCCAATGGACATTTGCACACACCCATGTTGAACGCAGATGCGTTACCACCATTTTAATAAAGTGGGCTCCGGTTGACCTGTCCATTGGCGCAGCAGCGAAGACTGTTGCGTGGCTCTACCACAGTTTTTAGCTTTAACCACCGCTTCATTGGATCTCGTTTGGAACTCGTCGAAAGGCTAGTTCATATTTTCAGTCTCATTTCTAATTTGGCCGTTTAACTTTTAAAGCTACATTTGATCGAAGTTAAATGTCGTGACATTGAGGGGAGCGGTGCAAGTGGTGCGTCCAGGGTGGGCAGTGGGGTGAGTTGGGGAGAATTACGCAAACAGACTGATGTCTAGCAACGATCGACATTCTCCCTTCACGCAAACTAATCGCTGTCCGAATTGTTGCCGTTTCATATAACGCAACGCTCATTTGAAAGACTTAGAAGCTCAGACTGGTGCCGTTCTAATCCGTAATTATAAAATTATATGTGAGAGCTAAATTAAAACTGTCATCATTTAATTGAGAAATATTTCGAGCTTTTGTGAACCTCACATCTAGTGCGGTTGGCAAGTGAAGTCCGCCTTTTACAATATTTTTTGTGGATAAAAATGAAATAAATTAATAAAA